GAGTTGGGCTGCAGGTGGACCCAGGGTTTAAGCAGTGACCCTGATAAGAGCAGATGCTGGATTACTGCAGTCATTTAAATTCAGTGCTGTGTTGTCTGTTGTCTGTTGTCTGTTGTCTGTTGTCTGTGGTCTGTGGTCTGTTGTCTGTTGTCGACCACAGACAAGTCATTTGGTAAAGTTAGGACTTGATTTATTTCAGTTTAAATCTGTGTTTTTTTTCAGACTGTTTTCTCACATTTGAACTAATCCTCTTTTTTAAAGAAGGAAAATGTCACAGCTTTGACAACGTGGTGATGATGTCACAGCTTTGACAACGTGGTGATGATGCAACGTGGTGATGGTCACAGCTTTGACAACGTGGTGATGATGTCACAGCTTTGACAACGTGGTGATGATGTCACAGCTTTGACAACGTGGTGATGATGTCATGTGGGGGATTTTTGGGGGGAAATTGTTAAAAGTTTTCTTTGTTATTTCAGTGTTCAAATAATGTGATGCTCGGTCGCATTATAGCAGTGGTTCCCAATGTGGGGGGCGGCCCCCCAATGTTGGCACTAAGCTATTGAGGAGGGTCACAGCAGCACAAACGATTTCTTCTGACTTCTGATTTGACAAGAGCAGGTATTTTGGAAATTAGTAATGAAGTTGTGAAAGTGTTGATGGGGGGGCAGCGACGCCCCCTATGTGAACCACATGGGGGCGTCGCTGCATAGAAAGGTTTGGAAAGAACTGTTTTATTTCATTAAAAAGATCATAATTTGAGTTCAGACGTTTAAGGTCAAGAACCTGAAATATGAGTTGGAACTGGTGTAAAAAAGGTATGAACTGTGTTGTCTGTACAGTAGTACTCTGTACAGTAGTATTCTGTACAGTAGTACTCTGTACAGTAGTACACTGTTCCTGGTGACTATATAAAAGTAGATTGAATTAAAATTTGAATTATAGATTTCAAATTATGAGTAATGTGTTTCTTCTATTGTCATATGACTGAATAAGTACTACTAGTAGTACTACTAGTAGTACTACTAGTAGTACTACTAGTAGTACTACTAGGTTGAGTATAAACATATTATTAAGAAATGCTGTGAGTGTTTGAGATGTATTTGTTTGTGTCAGAAGAGAGAGTCTTGTCCTGAATGAAGATGAAGAGACGACGTGGAGCTGACTTCAGTCGGACTCAATCAATCACGTCAATCAATCACGTCTCAAATATCAAAGATGAGACGAAGTATTTACTTCATGGAGGATATAGAGTTTCAGACCCCGTCTGACAGGAGGGTGGGGGTCGGTGCTGCCCCGCCCTGTCAACACTGCCTTAACTGAAATCAGAGACGTCAACTGAACCGAACTGAACCGATCTGAACTGATCTGAACTGAACGGAACTGAACTGAACCGAGCTGAACTGAACTGAACCGAGCTGAACTGAACTGAACCGAGCTGAACTGAACTGAACCGAGCTGAACTGAACTGAACCGAGCTGAACTGAACTGAACTGAACTGAACTGAACTGATCTGAACTGAACTGAACCGATCTGAACTAATCTAAACTAATCTGAACCAATCTGATCTGATCTGACTGTCCTGCACCGCAGACAGACAGCTGTTTGATAGAAACGCCACATTACGGGGCGTGGACTTTCTCAGTTCCACTCAGGCTCATTTAGACAACGGAAGATGAAAAATGACAGTTAGTGTGAACAGAGGTGTGAACAGAGTCCGACCTCAGCTGATGGAAACTGTCATCAGTCGTGGTTAAAAAGTCATTTGTAGAGAGAAACATCAACGTTCTCAGCTCACCCACGAGGGTGAGACAATACAGGACGTGGGTGAGGGAGGTGGGTGAGGGACGTGGGTGAGGGAGGTGGGTGAGGGAGGTGGGTGAGGGAGGTGAGGGAGGTGGGTGAGGGAGGTGGGTGAGGGAGCACAAAAATGTGACCAGGGAATTGGTTTGATTTGTTGTAATTCCAGCAGCCTATTGGAGGGTTGATGGTTGGAATCCCAGTGTGTTTGTATGTTTATATTTAAACTACGCTAAACTATAATAATCCTAATACAAATACACCAGCTGTTACTGCATAGCTCGGGGGGGTCAAACATATGGCCCGGGGGGCAAAACCAGCCTGTTAGTGTGTTCAACCTGGTCCGCCTGATGAATTTTCCCAAATGATATTTCATTAAATATGAATAAATATTCTACCATACAAAAACAAAACAGGAGAAACAGACTGTGATTGGACGGCCCTGGTGTAGCTGGGTGTCGTGGTTATAAACTGCAGTATTTACACGTACAACTTCATAGATAATCCATCGGAAACAAATCCACGATCGTTCTTAAAAAACAAACAAACCAGATTCAGGTTAGAGCAGAAGAAATTCAGATCCATGAGATAAAGTCAATTCTTATGTGTTTTTATAAAATCATACTTTCAAATATTTTGCTACAATATAATACAATATAACGACAGCTGTTATGTTGTTCCTACACACAGATGCTGGATGGGTAGTCTGTCTGTGTCAGCAGCTCTGCCCCTAGGGGCCAAAGGTGAGGTTTACAGGAGCTGCTGACAGGATGAGCAGAAAAGTGTGAAATAAAGAAGTGAAGAATCGACACTACATACTATAAACACAGACAACAACAGTCTTTATTGTCTCTGTAACACAGGGGGGGGGGGTGAGGGGGGGCACAAAGGCATATAAACATATATATGTATATATGTTTATATATTAGCCAAGAGAAGTGTTCACATGATTCAAACATTTTCTTTTTTTGGCAACACAGGCTGAAAATGTTGTTTTATAGCAGGCTGTTTTTGGAGCATCCCCCTTTTTACCCTCCTCCTACTACTACTTGCCCTGCCCCTCTCCCCCTGCCCCCTCCTCCTCCTCCTCCTCCAGGGGGAGGAGTTAAGGGCATATATTGAGAGGGGGCCTGACGTCAGTCAAATAACTGAAGACCGCACTGATTTGACAACACAGACTGTGACTCTTCACACGTTACTTTTCACCATGGAAAATCTGGAGGTTGGTGTTTGTTACGTTTGGGGTTTTTTCTCGTTCATCTTTGTTGTGATTCTTCTTCTGTTGGTCTTTGTTTGAAGCTGTTTTTAACTCAGTAGAGTTACTGATTACATTTTAATTCTTTTTTAAGTGAAACTGTCAAATAAAGTGGACCAAATCATTTATATTCAGCCGTGAATACTTTTTGACATGATCCGCTCCACCTGGACTTTTTTTCTAACTTTATTTGTTCCTCTCCTCACAGTTCGACCTTTTGTATGACGTGTCTGAAAACAGCACGGACAACATCTCAGAGGGATCTGGTGAATTTGACCTGGAGATGCAGGAGCCCTGTGAAAGAGCTCTGAGCTCCAACTTCAACAAGATCTTCCTGCCCACAGTTTATGGAATAATATTTGTCCTGGGAATCATTGGAAATGGATTAGTGGTGGTGGTGATGGGCTACCAGAAAAAGGTGAAAACCATGACGGACAAGTACCGCCTCCATCTGTCCGTGGCCGATCTCCTCTTCGTCCTCACGCTGCCGTTCTGGGCCGTGGACGCGGCCAAGTCCTGGTTCTTTGGCAGTTTCTTGTGCGTGTCGGTGCACATGATCTACACGGTCAACCTGTACAGCAGCGTGTTGATCCTGGCCTTCATCAGTCTGGACCGGTACTTGGCTGTAGTGCGGGCCACTAACAGCCAGGCCACAAGAAAGCTGCTGGCGAGCAGGGTGATCTACGTGGGAGTGTGGCTGCCGGCCATGATGCTCACCGTGCCCGACATGGTCTTTGCCCGAGTTCTTAACACGGGCTCTTCCAACATACTCCTCACAGATGACTCCATGGAGACCGCCGACTCCAGGACCATCTGCCAGCGCATCTACCCGCAGGAAAGCAGCCTGACCTGGACAGTTGTTTTCCGTTTTCAGCACATCCTGGTGGGCTTCATACTCCCCGGGCTGGTCATCCTCATCTGCTACTGCATCATTATATCCAGGCTGTCGCAGGGGGCCAAGGGCCAGGCGCTGAAGAAGAGAGCCCTGAAAACCACCGTCATCCTCATCCTGTGCTTCTTCTCCTGCTGGCTGCCGTACTGCGTCGGCATCTTTCTGGACACTCTCATGATGCTGAATGTGGTCACCACCACGTGTGAGCTGCAAAAGGCGGTGGAGACGTGGATTTCTATCACGGAGGCGCTGGCGTATTTCCACTGCTGCCTGAACCCCATCCTGTACGCCTTCCTGGGAGTAAAGTTCAAGAAGACGGCCAGGACAGCCCTGACCGTCAACAGCAGATCCAGTCAAAAAGCCACTCTCATGACTAAAAAGCGAGGGCCAATTTCATCTGTGTCCACCGAGTCTGAGTCTTCAAGTGTTCTGTCCAGTTAACGTTGGTCCAACAGCCGTGACTCCAGAACCAAAAAGAAAAGAAAAACTAAGCTTTCATTTTTAAATGACTTACTACGACGTGTACAGATGTAAAACAGATTTTTATACATTTGCATTTGTTTGCTTTTCTTGTAGTGTTGTTGGAATTCAAATGTATGTTTCCTGTCCAAACAATTCAACGGTTCCATTATTTCTGCTTTAAACCCAGGTCCATTTGACCTTTTTTTTTTTCCTCTTTATTTTTTTATATATATGTAAATGTTGCTTCTTCAAAAGCTCAGGCATAAGATGCCCCTTTCTCTTCAGGGATGGTAGCTGCTCCTACGATCTGTAAATAGTTTGTAGCATTTGTGTACGCACTTATGTTGTGTGACTTTTTTAATTTATTGCTCTTGTTCACACTGGAACTTTTGTAAAAAAAAAAAAGAAACTAGTTGCTGTGGTTTTTTGTAATGTAAAATAAAGAAATTTGATGCTTCTCATAATTACACTGTGCTGTGTTTTCTTTTCTTTTCTTTTTTTTTCTCTTGAGAACAGCCCTTTCTCCTTCTTCTCCCTTCAGGGCTCAGGGAGATGAGGTGTGTGTTTNAGGGAGGGAGGGAGGTTCCCCTAACACAAATGTCTCCACCTGATCTGGTTATAAAGCAGAGGGAAGAGTGAACAGGCAGACCCTGTAATTGCAGGAACATCTGTGCACTTTTACATCTTAAGCAGTCATTACACAAAAGCTAAAATCCTCAGTTATAATTAGCAGCTTAACAAAGAAAATAGCATGTTAGCTTCTCCTCCAAGGTCTTCCCTCTGCCTCTCAGGTCGCACGAAGTAATGCTTCCATTATTTCTGCTGAGCAACTTTTATTCACCTTCCGACAATAGATCAGCTTAACTCAGGGAACTGAAATGATAACACACACGGCGACAATGCAAACCAGCCAAAAACCCAGTCAGCTGAGAATTCCCTGCAGTAAATCAGCAGCTCCAAATCTGGGGGAATTATGTAGTGAGAAAAAGGGAAAAACAAATAGCAGGTTTGAACACATTTATCCACCCCATTGTTGACTCCGTTCTATCAACTCTACAAGCTGCCACTTCATGTCACAGTTTGAGACCAAAGGAAGTTGGCAACAATGGATGTCAAAAAGAATAGAGTGGTCAAATGGCTGCAGGTCAACGCTGGCACCAATACAAGGCTCCAGCTGAGATTTCCATCTCTTTACATGTAAAAAGACTGTGAAGAGCCCCCGCCCCCCCCCCCCCCCCGAGACACCAGGTTAATGGTGATGTCGGAGACTCGGCCTCTCACTGTGGAACATGATAAAACATGAGGTGCTTTTTCAGTTGGAAATGTTCCAGATGATTCAGGATTAGCATATGAGCTGTGCTGCACCAGCAGGGAGAGGCGCTCGTGGAGACTTCTGTGATTAACACTTCACTGAGCTCCAATGGATTCTTCTCATCTGCTCCTCCACACACCACCGGGAGACCTTATTGTTGGACTAGAGTCATATTAAAGAGCCTCATATATGCAGGGGTGCGTGCACATTATAAAAGGACCTGCTATTCTGATTGTATGGTAATTTCATTCTTCCAAATTGAAGCTTTTGTGCATTGCAAAGGAACCGGGAAAGTCACAAGTGAATGCAGTCGAGTTGGAGTTCATTCATTCAGAGGAGAAGAATACACTCCTCTGCTGACATACATACACACACATATATATATGTGTGTGTGTGTGTGAGCTTTTGTTCACCATTGTTTCAAAGAAGTTACAGTTTTACCTTTTTTTTAAACAGCCTGCCATTAAATAAACATCAATGGATGGCACTCAGCCTCAACTTGAGTGCACAAATTTCAGTACCCAGAATCCTCCTGGGTGTTCTGGGAGGTTCCCTGTCATTTATAATTTAAGCCTTTGTTGTCTCCCATGTTCAAATGGATTCTCACTAAAACTGCCAAAATCTTGATTACATCCAGACTCAGACGATGGACCTGGTTTTTCATCAAATGTACTGTATTTCATGTATAAAAAGAAACATCTTTATTTTTACTCTCTACATTAAAGCTCTGCACTAATGCTAAATGGAAGATAATTACAACCTAGCTTGAAAAGTTAAAAATTTGACTACAAAGTATAAATGTTACAGATTAAGAAGTGATAAATGCAACTGAAGTTGAAGAAATACATAAAAGATTTATTTTTCATAAATGTAGAATCAAGTTTTGCAACACGGTTGCACCAAATAAATATTGTGTAAATAGATAAGAAGATAAAAATCAAATGTTGTAATTGTGAGTGATTGCTTATTGACTTTATTGGGTTAAAGGGCAAAGCTGTTGAAACGAACAGGAAATAGTTGCCACTGTTGATTCATTACTTGGTGACCCAGAGGCCTTTGTCCAGTCAGTCTGGAGCTCGTGTGCTGCATTAAGGTTATGAGTGACACTGTTAGTGCCACTAAGTGCAGGGACTATTTAAAGTGTTTACAAAACGAAGGATGAAAGCTACACAAATACAACAGGTTCCTTTGGGCAGTGACCCGCTCCATTAATGGCTATATTGTTTTGGCTGCAAAAGTGAGCAGCAGGAAGGCAGTTTCCTGCTCCAGGATCTCCTGTGGCCAACAGCCTGAGAACAGCTTTGATGACACCCCCACTGTATTCAGCCCCACCCTCACTTGCTGTGCATGGCTCTTCCTGCAAACGTCACACGATACCTGGATTTACTAGGTGTACTCAGCTCAAGGTGTGAAAGTAATTTCACGGTGATCATCAGGTCAAATCTATGGGCTCACAGGAAGGTCTGAGTGTGTTCACTGATTGGTTAAAGTATATGTTTGACTGATTTACCACAGACACACTTGGTCTGTTTACTTGCTCCACTGACTCAGATTACATTTGAATTTGTGTACTATATACAGTTGACATATGTTACGTTGTTAATACATTTCTCAGTATGAGATGTATTATCTAATCTAATCTAATCTAATCTAATCTAATCTAATCTAATCTAATCTAATCTAATCTAATCTAATCTAATCCAACATAGACTGTTTTAGAATGTCTCTGCAACAGTTGTTTCTGTTTTTATGCTTTCGCAAAATATACAACCAATTAGTAAATATAACATGAATGAAAATTAAATAAAAAGAACATTTTTAATTTGATTTTATTTTTAGTATTGTAAATGACTGTATGAAGCCCAGTGTCCCAGGTCAGAAGGCTGTGATTAAATTATTCCAGTCAGTGAATCGGTTTGATGGAGAATTTCACGAACAGAAAACATGTCAAATGTTCAGTGATTTTTTTCTCTTTTCTCTTTCTCTTGTTGTGCCTGTTTGCACTAAAATAACTCCGTAGGAACTATATTTAATTAATGCGTTCCCCGTCGGAACCCAAAGCTTCCGGCACTTTGGTGCTCCGTCAAAACAGGTCCTTACTTCCGGTGGTCGTCCATGCTCAGAACAGCTGATGTCTGTCTAGTGCTTCACACTGTTAAAGTTTTCTTCTAACTTCTACCAAACACATTGAACGATGACTAAGGAGGAAGTCCAGGGGTAAGAACAATACGAAAGTTGCACATGACATTATTACATGACGTCTCAGCTGCAGACGTAGCTTTTTACTGCCGCTACTTCATGTTAGCACAGTTAGCAGCTAGCTGGTGTGCCTGAGCCTGGAGCAGATTGCATCATCTGACAGCAGCAATACAACTTGTCATTTGGTTTTTACTCACAGTTGAAGCGATTTTAAATAAAATAAGTTTTTCTTTATAATACGATGTCCGAAGAATGTTTTATTATTTATATTATTGTTATTGTTTATTCCTTAAGTTTCTCCTAAGAACTTTTTAGCCTGCAGTGTAATTTTCCTAAATCCAGGAACCTTTGATGTTGAATTCAGTTATTCAGTGTTTAAGAAATGCAGTACAAACGTAAGCAGAGTTGATCTTTTTTAAATGTCCTGTTGTACTCGTTCATGCGATGCTTTATTTAACATAAAGGAGTCTTCAGATCTCAGCTTGTCAAGTCATGTTTTTCCACATTCCACTCTTCTGCTCCTTCTTCAGTTTTTACCCTCTGGTTATGCAGTAATAATCTGCTAATTTAGGGTTGGAGTCAACACTCACACAGGACTCCTTGTTATTTTTAATTTAGTCTACCTTCATATGTACAGCTGAAAATACACTAAATGTTAAAATGCACTTTTTGCCTACTTTGATTTCAGTATTAGTTGTTGCTTGAATTTAATGTCACTGTGACTGGACTATTGTTACTCAATAAGATTTTTGTTCCAAATCTGAAAGGTTCCACTTGCGTTGTACTTTGGATTCATAAATCTGTGTTTATTGATTTACAGTATGTTCAACCAATGTCCCCGTCGATGTAGAACGAGGCCTGGCTTTTACAAGGCACCTGTTTGACAAATGTCACCACGACATGTCACTGCTGCAGCAGCAGCCAACTGACTGTTGCCACCTGTCAAACAGGGTCGAACGATGGTGTTTACTTCTTCAACATAGAACAGTCGTTCACATGAGTCATATATATGTTAGGAAACAAGAAAATTCAAGAGTTTCTGTTGTGATTTGGCACCAGTGTGTGTGTGTGTGTGTGTCCGTGTGTGTCCTTTCATGTTGCTGATGGAGACAATGAGTCTGACCATAACTGCCTAAGGCAAGAAAGGTTTGTAGAGGCAGCTTAACAGATTCAGCTGGACTCTGGACCATAAATGTACCTGCCCAGGTGCACTTTTACTGACATCATTCATGCTGGAATGACCCCACAGCCCAAGGTCATTCTTTGCTTTAGTTGTGCTCGACAGACAACATTTATTTGTCTTCCATTGTTCTGTTTTTGGGGCTATTTTTAATCTTACCCCGATGCTGCAGTGTTTCGTTTTGTTCAACAGGAAGTCCAAACGTTGGCCCTGTGTCTCTTCGGTGCAGTAGTTTCTGTTTTTGTGAAACATAATTACTATTCAAAGTTAACCTTTACTTTGTGATTTTTCCCCTGGTGCAGAATAGAATCAGTACAAACTTCAGTGGAATAAAATCAATGTGAAAACTGCTATTATTAAATAATAGTCTTTCCACTTGGCCGTCACTGACACAAACCTCCTGTTCTTTTGGTGATGTTTGGATCCAGGTGTTGCTCGGTCCACTGACTGGGCAGAACAGAAGAACATACTCCTGAGAAAACACTGAAGGTCTTTGGAAGTCCTTCCAAATGAATGAGAAAAAAAAAAACCCAGTGATTTTACCTTAAATCTTTTATTCATTGTCAAATACTATAGACGACCTCCACCGAGGTTTGTTTCTGCTCTTGTACATTCTGTCAAATAGAAGAGCAGTGTTTGTTGAGGCTGCTGTCAGGCCTGTGCATTAGTGTTCAAATCACCAGTGTCTGAGTCCCTGTGGTTCTCAAAGGCTACAGCTGTTTTGTCGTGTGAAAATAACAATGAGAATAAAGTGGAGTCGACATGAAAGCTTTGAGGTGACACTGTCTCAGACTTTTTTCCCAGGCACTCGACAATTTCCTCATGGGATGCAGAAGAAACGGTGTGGAAGTGGACTTTAATGTTTACGTTTTGTGTCTCTTCCTGCTGCAGGGCGGCCGAGGAGGATCAGCAGGTCCAGTCAAAGAAGGGCCTGAAGAAACAGCAGAAGGAAGCAGAGAAAGCTGCGAAGAAGGCTGAGAAACAGGCCAAGCTGGTCAGTGGTTGTTGTTGGGGTTTTTTTGACTTGTTTTTTCTTCTTTTTCACATCCGTTGCACCCTCACACAGCTGCTGGGGCTGTGACGTGCCGGTCCATGGGGCATCGTGGGTCCAGGAGGGTAGATTAGTCGAGGGGTGGGGGGTGGGGGGGGCGTCCATTGTTTAAGTATTCCTGTCATTTTGGCTTTGTTTTAAGTTCACCCAAACAAAATGCTATTTTCTTCACCCTTGACTGGACAAAAATAATTTTACCTTCTCCTGACAAACAACTGCTTTTCAAAGTAAAAGCCTGTTGTTGCTTAAACAGCCTAAATAGTGAATAGAAGTTGTAATAACATCTTACTGTACATGAACAAGTACAACACTTTATCATTATATAACATTATATATATATACACTTATCCTTGACTTACAATACTGTGTGTGAACATCAACATATTTATGTAGGATTTCACTGTAAAGGCTTCGAAACTCACACTTAGTGCCTTTTACTTTTGCCTTTGGTTTTTAAAGGGTGGGGCATTTGTAGCTAATTCACCCGTGGCATTTGTAGCTAATACACCTGTGGCAGTTGTAGCTAATTCACCCGTGGCATTTGTAGCTAATTCACCAGTGGCATTTGTAGCTAATTCACCAGTGGCATTTGTAGCTAATTCACCAGTGGCATTTGTAGCTAATTCACCAGTGGCATTTGTAGCTAATTCACCAGTGGCATTTGTAGCTAATTCACCCGTGGCCTGTCAGCAGGTTTGAATTGGTCTATAATGAACTGAACACAAGGTGCAGTGACAAAGGCTGAACCTTGAGAACAGATAAAAAGATGAAGATTTCTTTCTTGTCATTATAAGAACCCTGGTAGAGCTCCTCTTTCAGGTCTGAACATATATACCTACATATATATACATTTTAATTCACCAATAGGAATGAGAAGAAAGGTGGTATGTATCAGAATGTTATGGAAATATAAAAACACACGATATAAAGAGTACTTGGGACATTAATTAAAAAATATATTAGTATTAAGCACAGAATGTAGTGAAACATTCACTTGAATCTGATTAAAACATTAATCATTTCTTTGATATTTGAAACCCGTCCTTGATGTCTTTTCATCCTGTTTTTGTTGCAGCCTCTTGAATTAACGGTTGTGTTTGCGTTGTAAATAAAACATCCTTGTCCAGCTGTGGCTGACGCTGAGTGGTTTTAGAGCGGTGTGCACTGGCACAGAGCCGAGTTCTGGTGACACGTAGGAAGTGATGAACAACAACACTGTAACCACCAGGAAAATGAGCTTCCGCTCGGCTGTTAACGACTGTGTATTTGTCTGTTTGAACCTGGTGTTGACCAGCTGCGCCGACTCAGCAGAACTAAATGAACCTTCATCACGTCCTACCAAACGCCAACATCTTTTGGTCCTATAGGGTTAAACATAAAGGCGGGGTCAAAATGGCTGCACCGTTTTTGATTGTTAATTAAAGTAACTCATTATAAATTGTCCGTCAGTTTTCATTACAGTTTCTAACTCATTATAAATTGTCCGTCAGTTTCATGTTACACATGTCCAAATCAACACCATAAAAACTCTCCTTTTTATTAATTTGGGTCAATAAACCACAAAAGTATAGATGAAAATATCAGAATAGTCACAATGGTTCATTTTTAATTAATTTTTTTACAACGGTGTAAAACAAAAAAAATCGAAGAAAACGCTGAAAAGTTTAGGTCGTCTTTTTTTTTTAAAAACAAACTAAAAAAACCCATCAATGTGCATGTAAACCACATTAGAATACTCTCCCGTATTCTAAACGTGTTTCTCGCTTCAGTTTGACTCGTGGAGTGTGAGGTGGAAGAGAAAATCAGTTTAAATGGCCATGAAAACCCTTCAAATTCACACTTTTGGTTTGGTTCTCCTCTGTGCCTCTGAAAGTGGACCAATGTTCTCCAACCTCCTCACTTCTCCACATCTACCCTCCAGACATTTTTCCACTTTTACTTTGTTAAACTCACAGTCACTTCCTCTCTTTGTTAAACTGGGAAGTTTGTTTGCATTTCCCATTTCAAACAAACTGCACCAAGGTGAAACATCATCTACGTTCGCGTGTTGGATGGAGTTAGCGGATTAGCTCTTCACAAAACTGTCCAACCAAAGTGGACTTTCTAAGTAAGCGTTTGAAGTGGACCAAACAGCTGAGGTGAACTTCTCCTTATTTATCAGTGGACCTTTGTGGTGGTTCGTTCTGCAGGTTTCACTGAAGAGCAAATGTCATGTCTCCATATTTGTCAAAAACGTTGAACAGACATGAACACCAGGCCAGATGTTGTTGACTGGATGGGAACCTCGGTTTTTGTCCCGATCACTTTGTCCTTTTCACGTGCGTCTCTCTGTAAAGTGACTTCCCATTGGTCGACGGCTCATTTTCAGTGGATCAGAGGACGCCGTGTCATCCATCATGTGACTGAATTATCAGACCGAGGACAGCCAATTCCAATCCAGTTCACAGCCACCGGCCGTTTCATATTCCAATATCAATTTGCATAGGAAATGAAACGGTAACTTTGCCGCGACTCTTTCTGAGCGCAGTCTCGGACTCATTTGCCGAGAAGTCAGCCCAGAGATAAAGAATATCTGCCCACTCACGCTGTTTTTCTATTACAAAGCAATATCTCCTGCTGCCACTGCTCATTGTGTATGATATGTTGGCATAATGTGCAGAGGAGCGGTGCATGCTGGGTGTCTGAGCTTGGACCGCAGGACAGATCTGTGATTTATTAAGTTTGTTCTTATCCTTGATGGCATGAGTTCAAAACAAAACCTGTTGAAAAACATTTAAAATTCTTCCATCTTTGATTTTTTTAATGTTTGGATGAAATGGAATTCTTCTACAAGTTGTGTTTTCTCTGTGTTCCAGGCTGCTGAACAACAAGGCTCAGAGGAAGATGTAAGTTCTTTGTGTGAATCACATTCACTTTATTTTTTCTTTATAGATTTTATTTTTTACTAAAACAGACATGCAACAAATGGAAACAACAGAAATGGAAAATTTGTAATGTGTCTCAAGTTAAATAAAGAACTGCATGTTTTTAAACTTCCCCCTTCATTTGGAAACACCAGCATGACCAACATCAGGGTTGGTCTTGTCCTTTTAAGATCTTGATAAGTCCTTCTGTCTCAGATCTCGGTTGTATTAGACTGACTGACGATGGAGAGTTTCTGTTCAGACAAGAAACGTTTTCTGCCTGTTGTTAAACGTTTGTTTTTCTCTCTTTCTAGGACTTTTCCAAGGACCGATACGGTGTTTCAGCCATGGTCCAGTCTCAACAAAAACTGGGTACGAAAGCAGCAATAAAATGTCCAACACTCAGAAAATATCAGACAATAATAAAAAACCTTCAAATAGTAGTTTTTAGTTGGCGTAGGTCAGCGGTTCCCAAAGTGGGGGGCGGGCCCCCTAGTGTCCAAGAAACAGTTCAGGGAGAGGTGAGAGGAAGGAACTTTAATCACATTTACTTGTTGAATAAGAACAACAGTTTTGTTTATACAAAAGGGGGCGCTGCAGATAAACTAGGTTTACATTCATATGCATTTATGTTTCTCCGATATATTATCGTACGTTCTGTCTTTATGTTCAGGCCCTGGTGTAGGAACACGTGAGCATCAGTGTATTAAAAAAAAACAAAAAAACCTTTCTTCATTTGGAGCTAATATTTTCTTTTCAAGGTTCCGCAGTTTATCCCCCCCCCCCCACTCACCCCCTGCATCCTAATTATTTTATTGTCAGTCATCCAAATATGGAACTGTTCTTCCAAAAGCAGTCTTTGTACACTGTCTGTTTTTGTTTCCACATAATTTATCTCTGTCGTTCTCTGGCTTTCCTGATACTGCTCCAGGCTTTGGAGAGAAAAATGAAAAGTAATAAAAAAACAGAGCTCCAGTTACCAAATAGTTTTAAGGTGATGGTTGTCCTGTGATCCTAGTCAGCACTTTCCTCCTCACCGTCCACTCCAGGTAAACGGAGAACATGGAGAACTTTTGAAGTGTCTTGTTTTTCATCCCAGTTGACAGTTGATTCAGACCACGTTAAATGACTCCAGTCTGAAGAAACACTGGTCCCAGCTCTGGTCTAGTCGTGCCAGGACAGTGGGGTAGGAGCGAGGTGTGAGGGAGGTGGCAACAGTCAGATGTGTGGGGGCCGTCCGTCCGTCAGTCGCTCAGGCTGGGGGGGTTTTCAGCTCCAGTGACGGTAAACAGTGGGGCTTTGCCTTACCTGCATGCCATTACTCAGCCATAGGCATGAGGACTGGGGAAGGGAGGGGGGGGGGTTAGTGGAGGCTGATGCCTTTTATGTGGCTTGAAGCAGTGTTCCCAGCCAAGCGGGGCGGACCTGTTGTCTCCAGCGTAGCCTGAGTGTCTGCCTCTTCTGCTCAGTGATGATCAGTGAACTCATGCCTGTGAGCAGCACAGGTGAAACTGGAGTCAATTTGTCATCGAGCCCACGGAGAAGAGCTGAGCTGGACAGCCTTCAGCCAGCCTCCTAGTGTGTCTTATTTATTAGGCAGGTCTGTAATTTGAACCCTTTATTGTGCGTACGTGTACGAAGACACACAGACACAAATACACACACGTCTGTTCACACACACCTTTCTGCCGTTGGGGGTGTGAACTTCAAACGGCAGCGAGGAGGTGGAAAAATGCTTGTGAAGTAATAAACCATTTTTCTGTATGTGTGTGTGTGTGCGTGTGTGTGACTGCGAGACAGACAGGACGTTGACTCGAGTCCAAGATCTGACGACTGAGCGAGCGGACCAGCTGATCTGGCTGCGGGCCAGAGTCCACACCAGCAGAGCCAAAGGTGAGGTCGCGGCCCAACTCTGTCCACCAGCTGTGAGGTTTTGGACTTTTCTCAAGCAACCAATAGAATTCACAACAGACGTGACCAAAGTGCTTCACACTTGAATGACACGAGGGCAGGGTTTGAGCTCAAACTGAACTGGAAAAGACAGGACAATGGTGGCTGTTTTCAAATTATTACACAAATAATTGTTCTTGAAAAACCAGACACAGGACACATTGATTGTCGGGTCAGAAGGGTTTAGGTTCAGTTTACACATGTTTGATGAGTTAAAGTTAAGTTAAAGTTGTTAGTAGCAGAGTGATTTGTCACCGTTTTGACTCCAGCTGCACTGATCCAACCTGATTGGCCCTAGAGCGCTGACTTCAATAGTTCCTCAAAGACATTTTTCAAAGGTCTGTTTACTGTCGTTGGTCAAAGTGTAAGCATCGTTTTGTCACATACAAAACTGAATGTCTGATTAACAATGAAAGTACGTCGTAAATAAGAAAATAAAGTAAAAATACCATTTCCTTTTTGATATAAAGTCAGATAATACTGAAACAAAATCCCCTGTGAAAAAACTGCAGGTCACGTCAGGAGGAGAAAATGTTCTTTAACTTAGACACATCAATGGTCTCAGGAGGATCAGTCTGAGCCCCTACTGTTGGCAGAGTGTCAATACATGACCAGCTTCACTGACAGCCAATCAGTGCATGGTTGGTGTGGAGATCAAAGACACTTCACACAGTGAAGAGAAAAAAAAAATCAGCCACCGTTCATGTGTTCATGTGACTGAAAAGGCAGCCCGCGGGCCACATGTGGACTGTGAGCCACCATTTGAGGGTCGCTGATCTAGAGTCCATCTTACAGTCTGATCTTTCTTAACTGGATTCAAGTGCCCTTCAGCCCTTCAGGGTTGTTTGATGATTTAATCTGATCAGAATATCTGACGTTCAACATTAAATAAAAACATCATGTGAAACATGCCTTTAGTTCAAGTACAACTTTGGAATATTTGAAAAAACAAACATCTCCTACACAGGTTTGACTGTTGAGTTCATGATCCCAACGCTGTGGTCTTTAGTATCAGAACATCTGAGGTTGGAGTTTGCCACACGTTAGGCACACTTTGACAACCTGAGGTGTCTTTTGTTATATATTATTTTCAGACGATCTGGTCGGTGCCAACTGAACGATCAGGTAACCTGTGTTTACTGGGTTACACGTGCTGTCAGCCTTGTCACTGCTCTGTCTGACTACAATGAACCCACTGACTTCGCCAAGTTATGACAGCTAAAAAAAAAAGAAGCTTTTTGTGTTTTTTTTTCCATTTCCTTTCAAAAAAAACCTTTTTTTAAAAAAAAAAAAAAAAATCCCCAGCAGCCAGATCCTCTTCTCCGCTCGCTGTAAGGATGTCCGTCTGAGCACGACAACATCCCGCTTGGTTCTGGCTGCTGCAGCAGCTGTGAGTCTGTCCAGTTTCTCACAGAACTCATCAGTACCTGGGTGGTCTCAACAGTGTCTGTTTGCTGACTTGTCGACACTGTTCCTAGGTGTGTACGTTTGTGAGGAAGGTAGCAATCACCCCCCCACCCTCCTCCCCCCCGACCTCTTCAAAGAGAAGGTCCTGTTTACAAACATTTGACACTTTACCTGTAGATAATAAGGAGAGTCCTTAGAGCCGGAGGAAACCACCCTGACCCTGAGATGAAACTCTTATGGACTGAACACAGTGACATCACAGGAACTTTATTGAACCAACCCTCTTAGCCTGTTTGGACGTAACCTTCACGCCCTGGCATCATACCATGTTGTTGTTTTGTTTTTCAGGGAAGCAATGCTTTCTGGTCCTGCGTCAGCAGCAGTTCAACGTGCAGGCGCTCGTTGCAGTGGGAGATCGTGCCAGCAAGCAGATGGTCAAGTTTGCTGCAAAGTGAGTACAACCAGCGCTCTTCCTGTCGCTGGGGCCAGAAAACAATGGTGGGAAAATCCTGGGCCTTAATCGCCCTGTCGCTCCATTTTCACACATTCAAAGTGAGGTGACTAGTGGGGAAATCAATCATGTTTCACTAAACAACAAAAGCTGTCTGTTAGCAGGGCTGGGATACAGCGGGGTTGTAATGGAGCGGTTCCTGTTGAGATGGCAGATACAGCAGCTCAGATCAGAGGAGGAAGAAACACTCAGGAGCCGAGCTCCATTACTCAGCTTCACTCTCACATTCTAGGTCTAGAAATGAGTGACATCACTGCCAGAGAAACTGTCTGTGACACTGAGTTTAAGGGGATGAGGCTAACAATGACGGCTCCCATACTCTGTCTGACTGACTGACTGACTGACTGACCGACTGACTGTCCGACTGACTGACTGACTGACCGACTGACTGTCCGACTGACTGACTGTCCGACTGACTGACTGACTGACTGTCCGACTGACTGTCCGACTGCCTGACTGACTGACTGACTGATTGACTGACTGACTGACTGCCTGACTGAGTATCCATATGGATAGGTCCTGGTAGACTGGTTTCTGTCCGGCTCTTCTGCCGTGTTTGGAGAGTGAAAAACAAGTACATTCTTCTAATGAGGCCAAGGTCACCGCGGCCCAGACCGGGGACCTGACCTTTACTACAGGACCACGCTGACCCCATCTCTGAAAAGTGTCAGTCCCCCGGCCGTGGCAAAGTTCCTCTGAGTTGCTGAAGTGATGGACTCCCAGCTGTCATTGAGATTCTGCTCTGGTTCCTCCTGCAGCACCTCACCTCACCGGCGGCCGAGGAGCGGACACGTTGTGTCCTTTGATGTTGTAGAAGGTTAAGTGCTGGGTCATGTCCGTGTGTGTCTGGTCGTTTCACAGACTCCACTCAGTGGGTTTTGTAAAGTTAAGATTTGGCTTAAACAGATGTTTTTAAAAGGTGAGTTTAGGGTAAAGGGCGGTAGAGTGTCAACATGAGGTGTGTGCGTGTGGTGGCGTGCGTGTGGATGTCGGTTATGTTCCGTTGTGTTTTTGAAACTGTCAGATGATTTCATTAATGTGTAGTAGTTCCTTCATCTAGTTTTGCAATGTTGTGGTTGAACAGTTAGACTGTTGTGCCACATATCAATGGGTTACAAACGGCCCTGAGTCTGATGTAGGAATACTTCAGTGGTATTACTACAGTGGAGTACTCTTCAAAGCCCCTCGTGGTCAGATGGTCCTCCAGGAGGACGACGACGCCTCAGCATTAGCTGACCTCCACTGACCTCCTTTAGCTTCACAACACTTAGCAAAAGAAAAGAAAATCACAGAAAGTTGGCCTAAAAATCTTGGAGTACGAACTCACAACATGTTGCTCTGCAGTACTGTGTACTTTAACAAGGTACAGGAATTAGTACTTCGTCCAGAGAAACCTCCTGCCATGTTCTCTCCTTTAAGAGCTTGTAGGTTTTTGGAGCTAATGTCAGATTGATGTGTATATACTGTATATATATATACACACACACACACACATATATAATAATGTTAATTATTAATAATACTGATCTATTGATGTGAAGGACACACTTTAAGACAAGTTGGTCGTTGGTTTAGTTCTGAGAAAACATTGTGTGATTTCTTTCTGTCTTTTCACTTCATTTCCTTGTAACTCTCTTTTTTTGATTTCTCGTTTCGTTTCACACACAACTTTGTAGACGACGTCCAACAAAACACACCAACGGAGTTCACATTTGTATTTAGTCATTATTCAGACTTTGTTCTCACTCAAAGGCATCACGTCACCGTGTTTTTGAATACGGCACAGTCGAAATTAGAGCTGAGCCAAAGTGAGATTTCACACCTTTGTCAACAGTAAGTACAGCAGCTGCAGCTGAGGCTGTCGTCAGGTCTGAGAGCCGCTGCAACTTTGTCTTTTCATTTCTTCACTCTGACAAAACGTGATTTGACCAGTATTTGTAGTATTTGTGATACTGCACCACAGTCTTGAACCTTGAACCTTCAGATTGTTCTCCCTGTAGTTTCTGATGGGTGTGAATGTCGGTGTGAACGACGGTGTGAACGTCAGTGTGAACCCTGTTTACACGGCACAGCCTCTGGATTGTGAAGGATTGTGAAGTTCAGTGTTTAAATGCAGCCTCTGAACACTACTCCCTGTAGTACGTGTGTCAGTTTTCACTGAAGAGGAACTCATTTGAAGCAGAAATGTCACGGTCACCTGACAACACAGTCTGACCACACGTTTCCATTAGACCTCCTATCAATCCTGCAATATTACCTAATTATGCTGCAACGCCATCTTGACACTAACTCAGAGACAGGTGTGACTCCGCCTTCCTGTTGTGGTTCACACTGCTGTGGTGACGACTGACACTCAGACCGTGGATTACTATTAAATCCTCTCTTAATCATGTGGAGGACCGTGATGACACGACTTAGGAGGTCTAACTTCACATCTTAATTAAACCATCCTCAGTGAGCTGCAGACGTTGCCTGGGTGTAGCTCAGCAGGGGGAGCTGTGGAGAACTGTGTGGATCTCAGGGATGAGCGGCGACTTGTAGGTCGATGTTTGAGTCGCTGATGTAACGGTGGAAAAGGTTATGTTTATTATCACCTCAGATCTTACTGTGCAAACCACTTCTTTAAAAGTAAATTAAAACAGATTTTATTAACGTCATTATTAAACTGATAGGCTCAAAAATAAATAAATTAGAAACTTAAACTAAAGGTTCAACAGTAACAGATCTGATGTAAGTCCATGGAACTGATCATTTTGGGAAAACGTACACAAACCGTTGTGGTGTGAACACTTTCCAGAGACATGGTTCTGTTTTTTTTCTTGGAGAAAAGTGATATGGATTTTTTTTTTAGCAAAGAAACATTAGAGGAAACACTAAACTTTACAGTTTGTGTTTTTCTGACCGGCCTGCGGTCCAGATTAATTACCTATGGAAATGTCACACTGTTCACACACTCAATTGACAAAGGTTATGTTTGCAAAACTGCATAAAATTCACAATCATTTTAGCCTGAAAATAAAAGAACCTTGATGAGAAACCAGTAGAAGCTTCTGTGCTGTGGTTTTATAAAGTCTGCTCCAACTGGTTTTATTTGACTGGCTCCAAATATTTCTGACAATAAGTTTGTTTTATTGATGTCATATTGTTTGTCTGTATTCAAACTTTAGTTTTTTGGATCAGAGTTACTGTAGTTCAAAGAAAAGAACCAAAATGACGAACTGTCTCCGTGACGCAGTGGATTTTGTCACACTTTGTCTTCGTCTTCTTCTTCTTCTTCTTCGTCTTCGTCTTCGTCTTCTTCTTCTTCTTCTTTGTCTTCTTCGTCTTCTTCTTCGTCTTCGTCTTCGTCTTCTTCTTCTTCGTCTTCGTCTTCGTCGTCGTCTTCGTCTTCTTCTTCTTCTTCTTTTTCTTCTTTGTCTTCTTCTTCTTCTTCTTCGTCTTCGTCTTCGTCTTCTTCTTCTTCTTTGTCTTCTTCTTCTTCGTCTTCTTCTTCTGCTTCGTCTTCTTTGTCTTCTTCTTCTTCTTCTTCGTCTTCGTCTTCTTCGTCTTCTTCTTCGTCTTCGTCTTCTTCTTCGTCTTCGTCTTCGTCTTCTTCTTCGTCTTCGTCTTCTTCTTCTTCGTCTTCTTCTTCGTCTTCTTCTTCTTCTTCATCTTCGTCTTCTTCGTCTTCGTCTTCTTCTTCTTCTTCCTCTTCTTCTTCTTCTTCTTCTTCTTCTTCTGCTTCTTCGTCTGCTTTGTCTTCTTCTTCTTCTTCTTCTTCTTCGTCTTCGTCTTCGTCTTCTTCTTCTTCGTCTTCGTCTTCGTCGTCGTCTTCGTCTTCTTCTTCTTCTTCTTCTTTTTCTTCTTTGTCTTCTTCTTCTTCTTCTTCGTCTTCTTTGTCTTCTTCGTCTTCTTCTTCGTCTTCGTCTTCGTCTTCTTCTTCTTCGTCTTCGTCTTCGTCTTCGTCTTCTTCTTCGTCTTCGTCTTCGTCTTCGTCTTCGTCTTCTTCTTCTTCTTCCTCTTCTTCTTCTTCTTCTTCTTCTTCTTCCTCTTCTTCTTCTTCTTCTTCTTCTTCTTCTTCCTCTTCTTCTTCTTCTTCTTCTTCTTCTTCTGCTTCTTCGTCTTCTTTTTCTTCTTCTTCTTCGTCTTCTTCTTCTTCTTCATCTTCGTCTTCTTCGTCTTCGTCTTCTTCGTCTTCTTCTAATTTAAAGCAGTATTCACCGTCAGTCGTCGGTCTGTGAAGCAGACTTTCTTCTTCATGTGATTCCTGACTAAATCAGTCTGTTTCCCTCGGCGTGTGTGTGTGTGTGTGTGTGTGTGTGTGTGTGTCCACTGCCACAGCCTTCAGAGGAGGTTATTAATGTGGTGGATTTATTTATCTGACTGATCTCCTGTTGGGGGGGAGGGGAGGGGGGGCTGTGGCAGCAGCTGTGATGGGGTTGGAGGGACAGCACTCCCCTGGTCTTCACTCCCTCGTTACTGCTACTTTAATGAGGAGGAACCAAGGGATTCCCAGGTTTCCCATCTGGACGCACGCTCCATGGCCACCGGTGTTTTGTTCCTGTCGCTGTTTCAGTCACTGTGTAGGAAGATGGTTTCAAAAGCCTGCTAACAATGTCAAAAAGAAAAAAAAAGTGCTTATTGTAAACTGCAGTTTACTTTTACATTATAGGGGAACTTGTAACCCTGGCTCTGGTGTCATTCTGTCATTGTGGTAGAGCTGGGTACTTCCCACCGGCTTTCACCATGACGTAAACAGCCGTTCTTTTGAAATCGTGCTGCTCATCACAAACGACTCCATCTGGTAGTTCCTGTATTTATTTATTCCATCTTTTCTAATTATTAGATGATTAACAGACAGAAAAACAACCGAAGAAAAATGATGACCTCTACTGTGAGCTGAGACATTTTTAAAGCAGACTTTATTCTGGGCTGGAGGGGGGGCGGCAGGGGTGTGACAGAGCACAGACACCACTGAGTTTTGTCCTGATCCTTCATGAGTTTTGGCAAAGGGACGAAACAAGTGCTTTCTATATTTATTGCTTAGTTTAGTTCAACAGTAAGTATGATTATGTGGGGGCAGAGGCAGCTTCACCTGTGGGTTCCATTTTAAAAATCTGCTGAGCTCCAAGATAAAAGTGCTTGAACGCAGCAACATTTTCTGTCCCTCAGCCCGTGGGCACAGACACAGTGACGGCTGAGAAACTAGTTTATGATTTAAGATCAATTCTGACACAAGTGTGTCGTCGAGGTGATGACTCTTGACCTCTGACCCAGAAACACTGAGCCTGTGGTTTCTGCTAAAAAACAACACCCGACGAATAAATCGATGAAAAAAGTCATCGAGTTATTCATTTTTTTTTATGTTACGATAAAACGAAAGTGATCTTTTTTTTTACAACTATTTTAGAAAGTGTACGGCCTTTTGTCACAAAGCGGTTTGAAGGATGTGAAAGGATTCGAAATGGAAAATAAAACAACATTAAGTCCTACACCAATCGCTGCCTCGCACAGGAAACCATGAAAATATGTAAATGATTTGTGCAAGAATCCATCAGAGTTAAAGTGAAATTTTGTTCTCACACAGTTGTCCTCCCACGCTAGATTTAAAAAAAAAAAAATCCAAACTCTGTTGTTTATCTCCCAACCGTTTCACGCAGCGTCACCAAGGAGAGCATCGTGGACGTGGAGGCCGTGGTGAGGAAGGTGGAGCAGAAGATCGAGAGCTGCACTCAGCAGGACGTGGAGCTCCACATCGAGAGGGTGGGCATTGTTTTAGCTGCTCTGTGTGTGTGTGTGTGTGTGAGAGTGTGTGACACGGAGCAGGTGATGGAGTTTCTTACTGCTGTGTCTCTGGAATTAGAAACAATAAAAAGATTCCAGTTTCTCCCCCAGAGCTCACGTCAGTTTTACACAATCGTCTCGACTCTCGACTCTCGACTCTCGACACACTGTACGACTGCTCATGTCACCGCTGTTGGTGTAACGCCAGGTAGTTCCACACAGCAGCCGAGCGCTCACTCCTACTGTGTAGGTGATGTCTTCACAGATGAGACGTCACCGTCTGTCAGAACAACTCCTTCAGCCTAAATGCAGAATCCAGACACCAGGCATTGTCAGAACGTTGTGGAGGAAAGGCTGACGATTTGTCACCATCTGAATTTTAATGTTCTCCGTTCTCTGTCTTTTTTTTATTCCCAGATTTTTGTCATCAGCCAGGCAGAGCCACGTCTCCCCCTGCAGTTGGATGATGCTGTCAGAGCTGAGGGAGAGGGCGAGGAGGTAAGCGTGGGAGAGGGGGAGGAGTCCTGTGGCCCGCTGGTACACCGCGCTGCGGCTGGTCTTTTTCAAAAATTGCCAGTATTTGTGTGAACTGCAGTGCGGTGCTCAAGTCGTGGCCCACCGCTTGGTTTTGAATTGAGCAGGAGCTCATGGGACACGGTGCTGTGTGCCCATGCCTCACAGCTAAAGGTCATCAGTTCAATTCCCAGCTCAGACACCGAGGGTCTTGTGTCTGAACCTGGGAGTTTGAACGTTCTCCAGGTTGTGGGTGGGTTTTATTTGGGTGGGTTTTACTCTCCAGGTTGTGGGTGGGTTTTATTTGCAGACATGATGATTGGACAGGTGTGAATCTGAGTGTGAATCTGAGTGTGAATCTGAGTGTGAATGGCGTTGATGAGCCTGAGCTGCCGTGTAGTATCACCTGGGATCGACCGCTGGTAAATCTGTCACCCAGCTATGACCCAGTGGGTCACGAGGAGATTGTGGAGCAGTGAATACTACAGTGCCACAGCATCAGTGTAGTATTACTACAGTACATTTACTTAGTTCTGTGTCTCTACTGGAGGTGAGGGATTTGAACAAAGGTGATCAGTTCATATAAATGAGCCACACGGCCTCGGGTTTCCTGACTGTGATTTTCATTTTCTCCCGTCACTCTCCTGTCGACTCCACTGGTGTTGACTTGGATTATGATGATGTGGAGAAATGTACAAAGAAGGTTTAGTCAGAAATACTCGTGCTTGTTTACATTTAAAGATGTGGGTGATGAAAGTGAGTAATTTTGATGGGAATGACGGAGGTTTTCACTTGTTCACACAGGTCGTGTGTTTACCAAACTGTAGCTGAGCAACGTGTGAAAGAGGAAGTGGCCGTTTGTGTGCGTCACATGTCTGACTGCACACTGACAACAACATTGTCTTCAGTTTATCTGATAATGTAACGTCAAAAGGCTGTGTCTGAGAGTCTGCTGTGAAACAAACCCAGAGAGTTGTTAATCAATAATGAGTCGTTTCAGAGGAATTTAAAACATGTGACATAAGCTTTATATATGTATATATTTATATTTATGTATGACATATAAATGTGACACCGACAGTTGAGTCTCTCTAAGAACGGATCAGTGAACTTTGTTCCTTTAAATTTCCTCTGTGTTGGGATTAATACCAAAGCCGTACAGTAGGGGTCACCAACTGTTTTAGTCGGAGGGCCAGCAGTTTTCTGGACACACACCCCGTACACTCAGATAAAATCAAATAAAAATCACATTTTTGTCTAACGTATAATTTTGAATCCAGTCACAGGCCGGGTTGCAGGGTTGGCTGGGCCAGATTCAGTCCACAGGCCGCCAGTTGATGATCACTTCCATATATTCTTGTAGCATTATTTACAAATACCTGAGTGAAGTTGGCACTGGAGAAATGTTTCAAAGTCGTAATGAAGGGAAGAAGAGTTTGTTTATAATGTTATTTATCGTACAAACCTGGACACCCGGTCTGTGATTGGTCAGGTGGTCAGCCATGTTAAAACATGGGAAATCACCGTGACGTTTGATTAGTACAAATAACCACAAAGAAACTCAGATTGTCACTAATTCAGCTTCAACCCACTGCCAGGGGGCGCTCCAAACATCCACTGTGACTGTGGACTGACTGAACACAGGAGTTCATTTTTACTCTGCACTGTCCGTTTTCTTTTCAACACAAATTCAGTGTGTATACACACACACATACATTCATGTATATTAATATTCAATACCTCTGAGGTTATTCTGAAGAATGTTCTAGATTGTTGTCATTCACCAAACACACATTTGCATAAAGCAAACGTATCATTAATTTAAAACCTGAAGAAAATCCTATTTAAGTAACATTTAAAAACAAATATGAGGTTAAATATTTAAATGTATTTCCTCGTTGTCTGTTAAATACGTTAATGTAAAATAAGACGGTCTTTCAGTGTGAAAGTGGTCGTTGAGTCAAACTGTTTATCTGGTGTTTGTTTCTACTGGGGATCCACACGTCACAGCACCTGTCCTTCCCAGAGACACGGGCCTGGCCAGCTCTGTCTGTCGTTCTGTCTGTCTGTCGTTCTGTCTGTCTGTCGTTCTGTCTGTCTGTCTCACCGTCTGTCTGACCTTCTGTCATTTTTAGAGCAGGATGTGACAGTGCAAACTGTTCTTTCCAAATCCAGAGGGTCTTCTGAGGAAGTCTGACATCCACGACCGTGGAAACGCTGGTTTTCCTGTGATGAAACGTTAACGCTGTCACCTGTTTTGTTTTTATATTTTTAAAATGACCAGTGTGTCTCTGTCTGACCTTTTTGAAGTAGGGCTGTCCACTGACACTGACACAGACACCGACACAGACACTGACACAGGCACAGACACAGACACTGACACTGACACTCCACCTGCGTCTGTTGTCTGTAGTGTAGCAGCAGTTTCTTTACTGTGATGATGTCCTTGTCTGCCCTCAGGAAGGCAGAGCCACGGTCAACCAGGACACCAGACTGGACAACAGAGTGATCGATCTCAGGGTGAGTTAGCTTTACTTCATCTCTTTTCATTTGAATAAATATAAATGTTTAATGTATCTATATTATAACAATAAAATATAGAGTTGGTAAAGATTCAACCTCAAAGGTTGTGGGTAATTTATAGTACACTTACACACACACACACACACACACACACACAGAGCAGAAACGTCCTGTTTGTAATGAGAACTGCAGTCATGTGACTGTTAATGTCACAGTCTTTAAGAAACCAATCTAAACATAAATATATCTGTGTTTTGTCTTATTGTCATTAAACAGCGTAGCTTTGAGGTGAGGGTGAGAAGTCTTTCTGTTTAAGCTCAGTGTCAGATGGACTTGTTTGGTTCATATCTTTGTGAACCTGTTATCCTTTCAAATGTACAGCCCTAAACCTCTAAAGTGGATCATCTCTGATCGTCTGTGATTTTTATGGCCTGATACCTATCTGCGGTGTGCAGCGCAGACACTCCCACTCCCGCCAGCTGCAGAAGAGTCGAAGCCACAAAGTGTCTCATATTTTTTGATGTGTGCCTCCCTCGTCGATGATGCCACAGGCAGGAAAGCGCTAACACCGCGGCACGGAGCTGCGCCGCTCACAGAGCTGGCAGCGACATCTGTTTTTCTAACACTGTGCACTTGTGGCCTGTCATCACTTTTACACTGGGAGTCCATTTGGACCATAAAGCGGTTCCCACGCTGCCAGGGAGACTCCACAAAAGCAGCCGTAAAGAGTGTCCGATGATCATGAGCTCCTGACCGTCCTGTAATGACGGTGGACGCAGTTCAGTGGTGACACGTTGTCCTTTAGTCTCTTTAGGACCAAAGTAGTGACAGTGATTTATGTGGAGGAGTAACACACACCTGAGGACCATGAAGAGAACCAGCACCCAATCAAGTCCACTCTCTTCTGTCTGTAGAAAAAACACATTCACACACACACACACACACACACACACCACAAATGGGTGGTGAACGAGGACGATAAATGAATATTAAACATGTATGTTATTGTAAGAAGACACAGACAGTAGTGTGTTTATTATTGACAACTGAAATAGATCAGACTGACTGTAGTTTGAAGGTGGATCAATGGGGGGGGGGGGCGAGGAGTAGACGTCCAATCAAACACCAGAGATGATAAGGGTTTTATTTATGATGGTAAATCAGATCAGTGTTTCCTCTCACTGTTGAACCCAGGGCAGAGAAGGACTTACACCGGACAAAAAAAATAAAAATAAAGGTGATATCTTTGTACTGTTTACTGTAAGGGGGCAGGTGTGTTGTTTTGGGTTTTTTTTTTCTTGAGGTTTCACACTGTAAGAGCAGCAGAAGTGTCTTCAGAGCTGCTGCCTTTCTAGGTATCACCCCCCGCCCTCTGCCCCCCCACATGTGTTTTTTATAGTTTTTCTAGTGCAGGTGTTTTAGGTGATTTCTCTGTGTGTGTTTGATCTCCCTGAACCCCTGGTACAACTGCAGTAGTTGTCTTGAAACTTGAAACTTTTTTTTGGCTCAGATTTCTGTCACAGCTCTGGTTCCTGCACTTGCGATACTTTCTTTTGGTTGAGGTGTTAACTCAGGGTACTGCAGTCTGTACATCACAACACATGATGGGTTGTTGTGGCTGTACTGCAGCAGTGAGCGGTCAGTTTGCGGTCTTCTATTGGACACAGATGTGTTGACTTCTTCACGACGCCGTTCACACAGTCAGATCTTGTGGAGCTGAGCTCCAGTCAGTGGTTTCTGGTGAGTTTATAATAACTTTAAGGTCGGGCCGATCATTTCACACACAGTCGTCTCACTGATGCAGCTTTGGGGAAATTTGGAGCTTCAGGTTTTTCTGTTTTTTCTGCGGTTTTCTCTTGTTGACTCCCTGCCTGCCGATCATCATTCCTTCTTAGAGCTGCTGTTTACGTTGGTTTAACGTTCCTCAGTCATAATGAGGGGTTCGATACCAAGACATGCCCCGCCAACCAGTCTTTCTACACACCAAACCCACGTCTGAACAGCATGTAATCTGCTGAATCAGGTTAATTGTTGAAATGTTTGTGTCTGTTGACGTGCGTCCGTCTGATTCCTCCTGTAGACCACCACCAGCCAGGCCGTCTTCCGGCTGCAGTCGGGAGTCTGCCAGCTCTTCAGAGACACTCTCACAAACAAGGGCTTTGTGGAGATCCAGACCCCAAAAATCATATCAGGTACAAACACAGTCTGGGTGGTGACAGTTGGACCTCAAGGTCAAAGGGACATCAAGTCAGGCTTTTTCTCACGTGTGGTAACGTGAGGCACATTTGTTTCCATAACGACACCCACAGATGTCCTGTGAGTCAACGAGTGACAGTTGTTGGGTACTTCCTGTTTGGGTCAGTTTGTGTGTGTGTGTGTGTGTGTGTGTGTGTGTAATTCAAATCAGAAGCAGAAACGTTGTCTTTGTGACGCTGAACCTCAGTGCAGTGCTGTTCAGTCAAACAGCAGACGTCTAATCCGTTCCTCTGAGGTTCTGATGCGATCGATCAACTTTCAGAAGTTCTACACAAAGCCATTCTAATTTGACAAGTGGGTGTTTTGTTTGTGAGTCTTCCTCCCATGAGGCCTGGTCCCGTGTTTCAGGATAAAGAAAAGACTGCACAGAGATCGTCTTATTTAAACGAAAACTTGTTCAAAGAAAATGTAACAAACATTCAGAAGAGTTTCCCCGGAGCATCTCTCATCTCCTCACAAGAAGATGCAATTCTAATAGTGAAAGAAAAACCAATGACAGAGCGAGCATGGTGGTGGGTGGTAGCGTATGTAGGGGAGCGGGTCACACTAACTTATTTTTTTTAATTATGTGTAGATCAGCTCACGTTTGTCATAATGCAGAGAAAAAGAGTCTGATAGTCAATATATGCTAAAATATATGCTAAACTAACTAACCCACCAACTAACCAACTAACCGACTCACCAACCCACCGACTAACCAACTCACCAACCCACCAACTCACCAACCCACCAACTAACCAACTAACCAACTCACCGACTAACCAACCCACCGACTAACCAACACACCAACTAACCGACTAACCAACCCACCAACTCACCAACTAACCAACTCACCAACTAACCAACCCACCGACTAACCGACCCACCGACTCTACGTTGTTCTTATAATTGGTCGTTATTTACATGTCCACATTTGAAAAGCGATGGTTTTTCATGTTCTCGACCTCACAGCAGGTATGTAGATCATATATAAAGGTCAGGGGTCACAGTTTTGTTCATGCTACTGTTAGCAAACACACTTTCATTTAGCAATTAAACCAATTAACAGTTGGTTCTGAAACCCAGGACGGAACAGCTCTCACTTCAAACGAGCTTCTGTCACATCACATCCTGTTTCAGCAACGGCCCTGAATTCAGTGACCGGGGTTAGGGTTACCACCCGCGGTGGCGCCCCCTGGAGGGAGCGGAGTACTTTAATGCAGTATTTACATGCAGTAACTGATCGAATACAGCTTTTTCATTTGGTTCTGTCACAGATTTAGTCTGGATTTGGTCAGAAAACGATTCCTGTCACATTGTTACAAATCAAAGATGTTTTATAACAAGTTCAAATGTCCTCAGTTCTCAGCCAATCACATTTGTTTGTTTGGTTTTTTTTAAAGAAATGATGAAACCTTTTGTCACTCCACTTCCCTTTTCACCAAGAGCCAATAGGATCCATTAAAACCCTGCCGCACTTCAATTCAAAACTGGCGCTCTTATTTTGGCGGCAGTTCAGTGGCGTGATGTTGCCTCCTCCCTGCAGAAGCCACAGCTTCCTGTCAGTCAACGCCCATCACGCACACACACGGAACAGTTTGTGCCCTCAACCCCCGCCTGTGGTCTGCAGAGTATTTTTGAGATCTGAAAGTCACATGTACCATGTGATGATGTTGGGGTGGGGGGTTGCCAGGGGTGTTATGACATGACCGATGGTTGGATGGATGGTTGGATGGTTGGATGGATGGTTGGATGGATGGTTGGATGGATGGACTTTATTGGTGAAAACTTCAAAGTGTAGCGACACAGTTAAAGTTGGGATCAAAGTAAAACTGCATTTTAAATCCAAAGATTTTTTTTTTTTTTTTTTTTTGTCCACCTCCAGCTGCCAGTGAAGGTGGAGCCAACGTCTTCACTGTGTCCTACTTTAAGACCAGCGCCTACTTGGCCCAGTCCCCTCAGCTCTACAAACAGATGTGTATCTGTGCTGACTTTGACAAGGTCTTCTGTGTGGGACCAGGTAAGATTCCCTCTCCTCAGCCCCCGGTGGCAAACAGCAAAACAGCAGCACACACACACACACACTCACACACACACACACAGACTCTGGCGGCGTCTCCTTCAGATATCAGTCCTGTAGTTGTTTGTCAACTGGACCATGAACACGGCGCTCTCCCCGTCTGTTGATGTGGACCGTGCTGCTGCGTCTTCTAACTGGGACTTGTAAAAGAATTTATGGCCCAGCAGTTTGTTCAGAGCGTTCGCCGCTGAGAAAACGCCGCCGCCGTTTGATCGTAATACGTCCGCGGGTCCCGTCCCTTTTTATTTAGCTGTGTATTATTAAGTACACAAAAAAAAATATTAGCTACCATAAAATGAAACCATTTAGGAGCCGCATCACAGTTTTACTCCACCGACTGAGTCAGAGTCTCCAGGTACACCAAGGGTTAGGGGTCGTTACTGCTGCACGAGACGTAGTCACAGAGGAAACATTTGAACCAACCAACGTCCCCTGACCCTTATAGAGAGAAGACTGTGTTCACCCACTGGAGGTCGGAGGTCAAAACAGTTCTTTGTCTCAAGGAACAAAACTGCACAGAACAAAACTCAAAAACTCCCACATTCATAGATCAGTGGAAATACTCTGTGTACTCTGTGTACTCTGTGTACTCTGTGGGGTCCAGAAGGTTTCAGGTTCGAATCCACCAGTTGCCAGGTCACCACTGAGCAAGGCACCGTCCCCACCCACCTTGGTGAGGCTCAGTGTGGTTGTATCCCCGTGGTACAGTCACAATACAATCACAGTAAAGACTGTAACTGTCCAAAACTGTCCACGACCGGGTTCCAAAAATAAAAATCAAATAATATTAGACAAAAAATGGGGTTTTAAAGTAATAGGCACACAGTAAAGATAAGGTGCAGATACTTGACGTGACCTGTGAGAGGTGCCGTTCCGTGTTTTGTTGGTTTTACTGACGATGATTCCCAAAAATGCATCAGTTTTCAGGGCGGAGGACTCCAACACTCACCGCCACTTGACTGAATTTGTGGGTCTGGATATCGAAATGGCGTTTAACTACCACTACCACGAGGTCATCGACTCCATCACTGACACCATGGTCCAGATCTTTAAAGGCCTTCAAGACAAGTAAGACTCTGGTCCAAACATCGAACATGTTGTTGGTTTAAGTCCCGGTGCTTTGTTTACACTCACTCTATTGAACTGCACCTGCAGTTGTAGTGGTGTGGCTCTAGTGCCTCCTGGTGGTGTGACAGAAATACACCAGTACGTTAGGAGGTGTAAACATAATTCAGAAGATTCAATTATTTTCATGTATTTCATTTTTTTCTGCTGTTGCTGTTTGAATCCGTCTGGCCGTCAGCGTCAGCTCACACGGCTGCAGAACAGCCAATTACAGACAGACTGCTTATAAAAAGATGTTCTCACTTCTCTCTGCTTCTGCTTCTGCACTTTCTTAATTGCTCTCCACAGACAGGACGAGGAGCAGCTCTGCTCCGTTCTTTAGCCACGTCAGCCGTGATTGGTTAAAGTCACATGTTAAAAAAACAAAACGGTCTAAAAAGTCATTTCCACCACAAATTAGATGCTGGTGTTTTACTGAAGGAGCCGAGAACTTCCACTGCCACCGTCATCTGACTGGACCTCAGCCTCATATACATACACACATACAGTATATATATTATATATATATATATATATATACATATATACTATATCTATACTTCTTGCTGTAAGGCAAAAGCACTAACCACTGTCAACCCGTGTCCCAGTGGTTTGTTCAGTGTATTTTGTAGGTTCTTTGACCGAGTTGAGGAGTTTCAAACTCACACCTTGTGACATTTGCTCCAGTGAACAAACAAAAGTGAAAAGTCACATCTGCGTCTTTCTCACCACAAGCTTTCATCTCCTGACCACAGTTTGTGTAAAACACCAAGTCACGTGGTGTGTCATCAGTCTGTGTTTTTCCACAGTTCCTCTTCCTCAGCTCGCTGTAACTCCGTGACTGCAGGAACACATTGACCCTGTTTTAAAACAACAATAACAACAACAACAACAACAACAACAACAAACCCACACTGTGTTTCTCTCATGAAATAGAACCAGAAGGTTGGGTTTTGGTGGAGTTATGAACAACAGTGGACAAGTATTTTCATCAATATTTCTTCTTGTTCAGCTTCCAGACTGAGATCCAAACTGTCAACAAGCAGTTTCCCAGCGAACCTTTCAAGTTCCTGGAGCCGACTCTGAGGTTGGAGTACAAGGAGGGCGTGGCCATGCTGCGTGAGGCCGGCGTGGAGATGGGGGACGAAGAAGACCTCAGGTCAGAACACACACACACACACACATACACACAGGTGTGTCTTCAGTCAACCTGGTCCAGTTCACAGTCACATTCACACCTATGGTCAGTTTAGAGTGAACAGTGGGGGGGGGTCCATAGTTCCAGTTAATTCCATCTTTACACATCATTTAAAAAACTACAATATCAAATAAAACACATACAAACAAACAAACAGAAAAACTTTTCAGACGTCGTCTCCAACAGGAACCAAAGTCAATGCTTTGTTTTTCTTGTGTTCTACAGTACACCCAATGAAAAGCTGCTGGGTCGTCTGGTCAAGGAAAAGGTATGGTCAAGAGTTGGTTAGTTAGTTAGTTAGTTAGTTAGTTAGTTAGTTAGTTAGTTAGTTAGAGATGTCCCATATTAACTCTGAGTCCATGTGCCCATGGTAAAGGAAGTTAATGCTGCCTACGGGTTAAAGCAGTGTTTCTCAATCATTTTATGCCCCCACCCTCCCACCCCCCACCCCCAGGGGGCAGAAGCCCCTCACCCCACCCCCCACCCCCAGGGGCCAGAAGCCCCTCACCTTGAAATACTCTTAAGGTCATATTTATTTATTTATTAATCTGTACAGACCACTGTATGAGTTTCTGCAGCAGAATTCTACAGACAATGCCCTCATTATTAAAAAAGACTCAAATGAGCTGCAACACTGCCATCTAGTGGCCTTCTCTTTCACATACAGCTTTTTCCCCAAACTATTTTATACATCATTTGGTGAATTCCAAATAAGGAAATAGACTAAGAAAAAAGAGTATATTTGTATAACAACAACAAAGTATATTTGTTGAGTCAGAGTTTTACAGAATGTGTGTTTGTGCAGAGCCTACAGTCCCCTACAGCCCTACAGCCATACAGCCCTACAGTCCTACAGCCATACAGCCCTACAGCCTTACAGTCTTACAGCCCTGCAGTCCTACAGTCCTACAGTTCTACAGTCTTCCAGTCCTACAGCCTTACAGTCTTACAGCCCAACAGCCCTACAGTCTTACAGCCCAACAGCCCTACAGTCTTACAGTCTTACAGTTCTACAGTCCTACAGTCTTACAGCCCTGCAGTCCTACAGTCTTACAGTCTTACAGCCCTGCAGTCCTACAGTCTTACAGCCCTGCAGTCCTACAGTCCTCCAGGCGTACAGACATACAGCCTTACAGTCCTACAGCACTACAGTCCTACAGTCTTACAGCCCTGCAGTCCTACAGTCCTACAGCCATACAGCCCTACAGTCCTCCAGGCGTACAGACATACAGCCTTACAGTCTTACAGCCCTGCAGTCCTACAGTCCTCCAGGCGTACAGACATACAGCCTTACAGTCTTACAGTTCTACAGTCTTCCAGTCCTACAGCCTTACAGTCTTACAGTCTTACAGCCCTGCAGTCCTACAGTCTTAAAGTCTTACAGTCCTACAGCCTTACAGTCTTACAGTTCTACAGTCTTCCAGTCCTACAGCCTTACAGCCCTACAGTCTTACAGACCTACAGTCCTACAGCACTACAGTCCTACAGTCCGACAGTCCTACAGTCTCACAGTCATACCGTCTTACAGACCTACAGTCCTACAGCCCTACAGCCATACAGTCCTACAGTCCGTGATGAGTTTTGTTGTCCATTAGTAACAACAGTGTCAGTGACTGACCAGTGACTGACCAGTGACTGACCAGTGACTGACCAGAGGTCCTCACCTCCTGTGACTGTTCACACTGATCTTCTCCTCAGTACGACACCGACTTCTACGTCCTGGATAAATACCCACTGGCTGTGAGACCTTTCTACACCATGCCTGATCCAAACGACCCTGTGAGTCTCTGCTGCACACACACACAGACACACACACACACACACAGACACACACACAGACACACACAGTTCATGGTGATAAATGTGCTTTAAGTTTCTTCCCTGCTGGAACGCTGCTCCGGAGCTCGGTGAGAGCAGCCAAGTCTTCTGTCTCCACTGGATCCTTCTGTTTCACTACATCAACTCCTCCAAGGGTTCTCTCAGAAACTTCATCTGAGAACATGCTGAGAACATGGGGGACATGGCCACGTTCCATTCATGTTTGTTGTTTTGTTTTTTCAGAAATATTCCAACTCCTACGACATGTTCATGAGGGGGGAGGAGATCTTGTCTGGAGCTCAGAGAGTCCACGATGCTCAGCTGCTCACCGAGAGAGCAATCCATCACCAGATTGGTGAGAATCTTTGGAAGGTCATGTGGCTCCATCTGCTGGCCACCAGTGGACATGGCAGCACCAGGAAGCCTGTTGTTTTTCTGTTTGAGTCTGAATGAACCTCGTCCTCTTTGATACTGTAGATCTGGAGAAGATCAAGGCCTACATCGACTCCTTCCGCTACGGTGCTCCCCCTCATGGTGGTGGAGGTATTGGTGAGTGACGTCATGTTTTTCATGTCTTGTTGCCTTGACCTGGAGAATCTTTATAGATGTTTTTCAGCAATGATCAAATTTCAAACAAACAAACTTGAATGACAATGGATGATAAAAAACAACAACATTAACTTTAGCCTAAAATGATGCGCTCCTGTGATTTGCTGCTGTCAAAAGGAAACTTTTCTAGTTTTTGCATCTTTCACTTAGGAAATGGGATTAACTAGAATCAGATTAACTAGAATCAGATTAACTAGAATCAGATTAACTAGAATCAGATTAACTAGAGTCACAGTGACAGTAATTTCACTGGTACAAGTCAAAAGAACACGTTGTTGTTGTTAAAACACTTCTTCTGACAATGATCCAATGTTCTGTCTGTTCAGGTCTGGAGAGAGTCTGCATGTTGTACCTGGGTCTTCACAACGTGCGTCAGACCTCCATGTTCCCACGTGACCCAAAGCGTCTCACACCCTGAGCCTTCCTCACCCGGGTCGACCCGATCGCCTTACACTTAACGTGCATATGCTGGGGGAGGGAAACCAAGTTAATCCAATCAGGGAGAGGGGCTTTTTCTAATCATGATACGGTGGTTAAAATGACTGATGATGAAAGTTTGGAGCAGAAAACAGACACCAGTGAAGAGGAGGCGTCTCTGTCAGTAGAGGTGGTTGATAACAACCATCAGTCCTTCTGTTTGTAACAACAGGTAACAGTTAACAGAGCTACTTTAACCAGGTCTGAGTTTGTCTAACTACCAGCAGTTTGTTTGTAACATGCATTTTTTAAAGGATTTAATGGGATTAAATAAAAATCATAAAATAAATTCATCCTTTTTATTGTTTTTTTTTTTTATTGTAATATTTGGTTTATTTTAACATGATGAAAAGATAAAGCACATGGTTCATAGACACGATGACCTGCTGGACGATCTAAAATACAACAACAACAACAACATTAATAACTGACAACTACAACAAACTGAGTACATTTGATTCCCTGTTAATTCAAACAAATGCTTTAATCCACTCTTTTCTTTCAGACTGTGTTGCTGCTTAAATAAAACATACACTTTTATGTCACACAGTTGGAAACAACGTTTCAATACAAACACATATTACATTGATTGTCAGGAATGAAAAAATAAATCAAACTAAACGTCAAAGAAAATATTATCTTCACCAACAGGGGGAAGTGTCTCACAATTATTACATTTACATTTATTGGCACATTCAATCTAAAACATTCGACGCCACGACCAACGCAGACGATATAGAGGATATGACCACAGGGGGGCAGTAATGCAACAATAGCCCGGTGTTAATTTGACAAAGAGACTAAGAGGCTAACGACGTCATCATCATCTGTACACAGTCACGTCATGTCAAACAGACCGCAGTCGTCACCTAAATGTTCTTGTTTATTTTATAAACCGTTTTTTGTGTGTGTGTGTTTCAACTTCAACTGTAACTGATTTTTAGTGTTTTCTGCAGCCGACCTGAACCGAGTTTCCCTTCAAAACCGGTTCTATTTAAACAATAATAACTAAAAATAATAACTATGCAGTCAAAGTAAAGTTTCTACTGCCGTACTAACTATTCAGTCGCAGCTCCACTGACTTGAAGGATGAACATGAAGATGTGAACGATGTCCACGTACAGAGCCAGCGCCCCATAGATGTACTCCTCAGGACTGATGGACAGCTCACGGTTGCCAATCAGAAGCTGGGTGTTGTACACCAGGAACTTCAAGAGAAAGGAGAAATACTGTAGTACAGTTGTCAAAAAAACACAAAACAACAGTACTTTTCAAAAGTCTATTTGACCTGAGTGTTAAAGCAGCGGCCATGTTGGACCATGGTTATAAAGTCAGATCCTCAGTCTGCTGGAGTTACTGATCCCAGAGCCAACAGATTATTACTATTACTATTATTATTGTTATTGTTATTGTTGTTGTTGTTATGCATATTGTTGTTGTTGTTATTATTATTATTATTATTATTTCACATATTTTCCTAACCTTCAGTGTCACTATTTAATCAAACACAAACCACATTTCAAGGTGTGCAGCCTTGTTAGCTGAGGTTCGTGTTAGCTGAGGTTCATGTTAGCTGAGGTTCATGTTAGCTGAGGTTCATGTTAGCTGAGGTTCATGTTAGCTGAGGTTCATGTTAGCTGAGGTTCATGTTAGCTGAGGTTCATGTTAGCTGAGGTTCATGTTAGCTGAGGTTCATGTTAGCTGAGGTTCATGCTAGCTGAGGTTCGTGTTAGCTGAGGTTAATGTTAGCTGAGGTTAATACTACATATAAATAGTATATATATTAATACTAGTATCAGTGAAGAAGAACTAATTGTATTGTTGACATTAGTGAAACTGAAACATCAGTAAATCCTGAAATTTAAATGTATTGTTTTAGGAAAGTATTTTAGCTCAGTAAATATTTACCAATGTAGATAGAACCAATAGAACTAATAGAACTGTGTGTAAGTCAGAGGTCTTTAACAGTGGTTTCTGACCCCTAGTGTGTCTAAAGAGGTACTGCAGGTGTGTGGGAATTTTTCGATTAGACGTTTTTTATATATTTTTCACATTTAAAATAAAAATCCAAGAAAAGCATGAAAGTCATGAAAGGCACGAAAGACATGAAAGTCATGAAAGGCACGAAAGACATGAAAGGCATGAAAGACGATCTGTGTACAATTTAAAAAAGAAACAAGATCAAAAGTTCCATGCAGTTCAGGAATTCACTCCTGGAACATGTTGTACCTGTCAGTCAAGAAGGAACCTATGGCAGTGTTGTCAGTGGATGCTGTCAGTGGATGCTGTCAGTGGTGTTATACAGCCAAATGTACAGTATGTGCTGCGACTGAAGGACCAGTGTAAATGAATAGTGTTAAAGTTGTTGTTGTTTGAGTTGCTGTTCAAATGTTGTCACTCTGAAATCCATCAACTATAATTTTGAGTCAGAGTCAGAGTCAAAGTCAAAGTCAGAGTCAGAGTCAGAGTCAGGGTCAGGGTCAGAGTCAGGGTCAGGGTCAGAGTCAGAGTCAGGGGCAGAGTCAGAGGCAGGGTCAGGGTCAGAGTCAGAGTCAGAGTCAAGGTCAGAGTCAGAGTCAGAGTCAGAGTCAGGGGCAGAGTCAGAGGCAGGGTCAGGGTCAGAGTCAGGGTCAGAGTCAGAGTCAGAGTCAGAGTCATGGTCAGAGTCAGAGTCAGAGTCAGGGTCAGGGTCAGGGTCAGAGTCAGAGTCAGGGGCAGAGTCAGAGGCAGGGTCAGGGTCAGAGTCAGAGTCAGGGTCAGAGTCAGGGTCAGAGTCAGGGTCAGAGTCAGGGTCAGAGTCAGGGTCAGAGGCAGAGTCAGGGTCAGGGTCAGGGTCAGAGTCAGAGTCAGGGTCAGAGTCAGAGTCAGGGTCAGAGTCAGGGTCAGAGTCAGGGTCAGAGAGTGAACCTCAGTTCAGCAGAGATCCGACTCACCAGAGTGTAAACGACGGCTCCAATGGCAGCGTAGAGCATGTGCAGCCATGCCACCTGAGAGTGACACAAGGAAGAAGGAAGAAGGGATTGAGTCACCGACAGACACCGGCAGACGCCGACAGACACCAACAGACACCGACAGACACCGGCAGACGCCGACAGACACCAACAGACACCGACAGACACCGGCAGACGCCGACAGACACCAACAGACACCGACAGACACCGGCAGACGCCGACAGACACCAACAGACACCGACAGACACCAACAGACACCGACAGACAGAGGAAGAACAACGGTCGGATCACAGCGCTCACATATTGAAAGGAGAGAACGACGGCCGTGACGATCCCGATGATCATGAGAAGAATCGCAGCGATACAGAGGAGGCCGCCGCAGGAGGTGAAGTCCACCTGTGGTGACGGAGCACTTAGAATGATGTACTACTACTTACAATACTACTTACAATACTACTACTTACAATACTACTACTTACAATACTATTTACAATACTACTACTTACAATACTACTTACAATACTACTACTACTGCTACTACTAATACTAATACCTAGGTGTGTAAGATAATATTGATACCAAAATATCTCAATTATTTTTTCACCATACTGTATTGATATTCTGCATTTTTTATTAACATTAACAATTACTTTATTAACCATTAACCTGCAGATTGTCCTTTTGTATTATTATTATTACAGTGTTGTCTTTGTTACTGTGATAAAAACAACAACAATAATAAAATAAATGATCAACATATTATTGTTGAAGTTGATGTACATGAAATCTAACAACAGAATAATGACTGATGTCAATGCTGATCATCTGGGGTTGGAACAAACAGACAAACAAACAGACACCTCAGTTACAGCTCACACTAAAACCTTGTAAATGTTTAAAGGCACTCAGCAGCCATTGTAATGTGAGACAAAGGCGTTCTTTTACAGCGACAACAAAGACGTCCTGTGACAGACACACAGACCACGCTTCACTGGGTCGTCTACCTTGGTCTGGAAGCAGAAGACTGTGACGGCTACACAAACCACCGCCGTTATTCCCATGGCCAGGAGCACGGCTTTGGTTTCATAATAGCTGAAAAACCACAGGTGGACGAGAAGAAAACGTAAAAAAGTGGGATTTTACAAACGGGATTTTCAACAGAAAAAAACGAACCTTGAGATCGCGCCGGCCAAGTAGGACAGGGCCAGAGTCTGAGGGAGCAGACATGTTGTTAGTGATGATTATATGAACATATGTATAAGATATCATATTCCATACTTACAAACACACCGAGCAGCACAAAGTTCCATGGAAAACGTCTCCTAACGAAGAGGTTCAAACACAAAGTTATAATTTATGAATTATTGACCTGCTAATGATGTTTACATGATTGTTTTGAACTTTCTCTGGACTAACATTCAGTCATATTAAACTTTTTACCTTTAGTTCTTGAATTTGAACATTTGTTAGCATGCTAAGGGCTAATCTTTAAATACGTTTGGGTTCTTAGACCTATTTTTATATACGTCAGGTAATTAACACATTTTAATTTTGATTTATTTATTTCTAATATTTTGCTCTTTTGGCCTTTATCTTTTTGTGGTGAATTTACCTTTGTATTGTATTCATTTGTGAACACCTGATCCATGAGATCAGATTGATGTCTGAGTCTAAACATTTGTTCAAATCTGGTTCATTTCATTTCATTTCTAACTATTCTGATAAACTGAGCTTCTGTTTCTGAAATGTTTTCCTTTCAGCAGAACTTTGGGATTTTATTTATGACTTTTTTAATAGTATTTGTATTGTTGTGTTAGTTAGTTACTTTGGCTCTAATTGTATTTCTCTTCACATTTGACCTGTAGCTTTTTACCTGCCGTTTCATCAGCTCACTCTTAACTTAAACCAATCAGTTTCTTAATCTGCACCAAATGACAAAGATTTGAAATTTTGGATTTGATTTTCTTTCCAGATGTTGGAAAAGTTTGAAGTCCAGTTGAAGTAGCTGAGGGTTGTGTGGTGCCGACCTGTCGGAGGACCAGCTCACCTGGGTCCTTTACAGCACAGGAGGATGCAGTACACCATGAAGTAAAGTACTCTGTAGAAACAGACATCACTTCATCAAACATGTTCCCTCAGACAGACAACATGACTACAGACACGGCAGCGTCTGTGACTCACAGTGAAGCCCAGTAGACGCCGGGATAGTTGATGACAAACTTCTTCACTTCCTCACTGTCAACACACACACACACACACACACACACACAGAACACTGGTCACTGTCGTCCAGCAGATGCAGGAACCAGGGAGACTGAACGTATTAGTAGGGGGGGGTGCGGGGGGGAGCAGGGAGGGG